GATACCAAAAGAACCTTTATAAATAGTTAATAGAAGTCTACAAAATTTGTGTAATATAAACACACTGTTTGGAAACAAATTAATCATTTTAGGAGGTGATCGTCGTCAAATTCTACCTGTAGTTAAATATGGTAATAAACTGAACATAAGAAGAATGACTATTAAATATTTCAAAATTTTCAATATATTTTAAAGGGCCTAGCCAGATAAGGGGGGAAAAACTGCCTTAGCTCTAAGCAATCTGAAAAAATTCATGTGTAGTATACTGTAAGAAAAAATTTTTAAAATTTTTCCAGACCCCACTCCACTCATGGGTTTTTTTATANCGACACTAAAGTATTTCCGATGGCCTTTGTAACGGTATGAGGTTAAAAATAATAAAATTATTTAAATATAACATAGAAGCAGAAATAATAACAGGTGACAAAAAAGGATGTAAAGTTTTTATACCAAAAATAACATTAAGTACAACTAATACATCATTGCTTTCTTCTATTTTGTATAGAAAACAATTTCCCTTTGTATTAACTTTTTCGATGACTATGAACAAATGTCAAGGTCAACGTTTCGATTCTGTAGGATTATATTTTGTAAAACCTTTATTTTCTCATGGACAGCTATATGTTGCCCTTTCGAGGTGTAAAATTCCAAGTAATATTCTCATTCAAATTGAAGCTGAAAATAAATTTGAAATGCAAAATATTGATTGATCCGAAACATTTCGATAATTCAACAAATCTTGCATCTATCTATTAACGTTTTATATTTTATGTTGTTATCCGTAGTTTGTAAGTTAGCAAATTTTGTAAATTTCATTTTAAAACATAAGAAATTTTAATTATGAATACGTAATTCTCTATTTTCTATATGTATATCTGTTTTTTATACACACAAAATTTTTTTTATAGGTATTTTCTAGCAAATGGAATAAAAATTGGGAAAAAAACAAAATTCTTAGATATTCTCAATTAAAAAATTGATACACACATTAGGCCACATAATTCAGTTGAGATAAAAATATATCATTGGTCTCAAACAATTATTAAAGTACTTGTAACAAAAAATTATGTTTCAGTTTGAAAGATTTATTCATCTTTCATGTATGCAAAACAAAATTTTTGAGCCCTGAAAAATTAAAAGATCATGAAAAGATACTTTGAAAATTATTATACGTTTGTGATTTTTGTAAAATTGCATTGACTTTGAAACAAAATTTTGTTAAGCATCAAAAGGAACATAATTTAGAAAAAACATTCACATGCATACATTGTAATAAAAATTCAAAAGATCAACGCATTTAAATAGACATATAATAATTTACAGTAAATGTGAAATTAAACAAATTTGTACAAAATGTGCAAAAGGATTTTAAAGATTAGAAAATTTAACAAGACATGAAAAATCACAATTTGAAAATCATAGTAATAGAATAAATTTTTTTTAAATAATCAAAAAATACTAAAAATATAATGTTACCAAAGATTATTTGATCATGTTATGAATAGAGCTCAAAATATTTCAAAAAATTTTGAAACTGAAATTATCAGCAATTTTTTTATTTTACCTTCAACATATATAGGTGGTCCTAGATATATGCAGCAACATTATCAGGATGCTGTGGCCATAATGATAATATTCGGGAAACTAGATTCATTTGTAATGGTTACGTGTAACCTAAAATGCAAAGAATTACAAAAAAATTGTTTTAGTTTACTACATAAATAACTCCCAACGACATTCCTAACATAACTTTTTGTTAATTCTACACAAAATAACCGTCAATTTTAGATGATATTATTAGAAAAAAAATTTTTAGTAAAGTTATTGCATATTTTTATACAATCAAATTCCAAAAAAGGGGATTATATCATGCCCACGTTCTAGTTAATATAAATACTTGATGAATAAATATAATCGTCACATAAATGGAGAATGTTGTGCTTCTGTTTAAAGTATTTAATACATNGGATGTATGGGGGTGAAATGAATTATTAAAACAGCAAGGAAACAAACGATTAACAAGGTAATTTGAGGGGATGGATGGGAGATGGATGGGGGATGAAGGGGGATGGAGGGGGATGGAAGGGTGTTAAAGGTTGAATCCCTTAAAAATAACTATATAATATAGGAAGATTTGTATATTTGTGTGTTTGTGTGCTCGCGAGCGTGTGTGTGAACATTTTATGCACGTATGTATACATTTCATCTTATTTTTATCCACTTAATATCAAACTACGATAAGAAAAAATAATTTCTTACGGCTCATTTTAATAAGATTTGTTACATTTCATTAACGTACAAATTTTTAAAACTTATCAACTAAGTACACATAGTCAATAGTATAATCAATAGATTACGAGTTTTGTTGAAATCCCCCACTGCTCCACAGCCCTTCACACCATTTAAAAAAAACTTGATGGAGATCCTACTGATCTTTACAGACCTTAATATGCATACATACGTATGTGTGTCGTATATGGGTGATCATATTGCTATTAACAATTTAAATTTTTAAATCGATTTGTAACTATGGTTCCCAAAATTTAACGATTATTTAATACAACCATCGTATTCTACGTCAAATTTCCTATATAAAACATGTTTCTAATTAATGGAGAAATTCTTATTACTGGGAGAGGTACATTAATTTATGTAGCTTGATATGTCGTATCGGTGGGTGGGTTACCTTTACACACCTCTCCTTCTAACCCTACATCATTTTTTTTAATAACACTAATGGTTATTAAAATAATAACATCTTACTATATGAAAAAACATGATTATTTTCATTTTTAAATATGACTTATAATCAACCCAATGTTCATTTAAAGATTTTTACAATTATTGTTTTACCGTTTGATAAAAATCTTTTGCTTCTAGTTTCTGAAGAGAGATTAGTATCATGCAATGGAATTGTAAACTGCCATTTAATAATAAAGCTTTTTGAAATCGTTTTAACAATATCTGTTTTTCCTTATTACGCTGAACATTAATTTAATAACGACACGATATGCTTTGAAAAGCTTCTGTTGCCCAAGTGAATAATTCGGGAGGGGGGGGTGTTTGAATACGTTTATTTATTTTTTGAAGACTAGCTCTGTCAGCAAGTTGATTAAGCGTCCCACCTATTTTGACGCATGGTACCTTGCCATGAGATGTAGGGAAAAATGCCATTCGGCTGATATTCCAAAACTTTTTTAAATTTGTTATCAAAATTTTGTTGTAATTCTTGAATAATATTATTTACACCAGGGCACTCATCGCATAATCCCAAAAAACAGTTAGTAGATTGAATATCACACGTCATACGATCCAAAAAATCATGATAGTTAGTTATTGGTCTTTTGGAGTCAACTATGATACATTTTAAATTTTCTTCATCTATCATGAGTTTAATATTTTCATGTACTGGACAGACACACACCAAAAAAGTGCCACTGGCTCCATATTACAGCTATATATCCTGTCAGTACACAATATTTTGGTCGTATGCTGGCGAACTTTAAAAAACCACACTTCGTTGTTGGATACTCTTTTTCAAATAGTTTATACAATTCTTTTCAATTATTCAAAATCAGCCATTTTTGCATCTGTATTTTGTGACCATCCACTATTACGGAGACAAAATCTTGTTTACCTTACATAATTTTTGTGTGTTAGTCAGGTTCATGGAAGCTTATTATACTGTTAATAAGATCCACTTTTAAAGATGGATGGCTTTTGAAACTTGGATTGCCTAACATTCCTCTATCATTAGCAATATTTTTTTCAATATTTATCATGTGGCGAGTAGCTGTGGGTGAGTTTACCTGAATTTTCTGATAAGACCAGTGTCTAAAAATAGTCCAAATTATTACGGTATGACATCGATCTGTAGTTACAGGCAAATAGAAATAGAAAAATAAAAGGAAATGGCAAAAAAAAAGATAAAGAAAAGGAAGGAAGGAGATCCATGGAAAGCCCTGAGCCCCAAGGAAGCGTCGCCCCTTCCCAGAGGCATAAAATAGAAAACAGCGCGGAATTGGTAAGCAACCCCTCGATGCCTCGTGGAACTTCCTGAACGACGTGCATCACTTGGACCAGGTCAAGTAAGGAAAAGAGACGCAACAGACGATCAAAAATGCTTATCATAAATCATCTAAAGGAGGTTCGCATATGCCTGAGTAGATGTGATACGATGCATCCGTCCGAAGCATCCGCTCAAAGTCTTGAAAACTCAACGTCTATTGAAAGCGATAAATTTCCGTTTGGGCCGACGGACGCGCTCTGGAGAGGCCGACCCCAGGAGAGTTCAAATTTCAACAACTAAATGTTGATAGATCGAATAAGGTGACTGAAGAGTTGTACCAACTAATCTCTGAAAAGAGACTAGACGTACTTCTTCTTCAAGAACCGGCCAAAAGGAGGATGGGTAACTCCTGGACGTGCACCGGTCTGGGCACAAACATAATTCTGGCTACCCGTTCAGTGGAACCCTGGGCCGCAATTATTGTTACTAATCCCAAGTACAGCGCACTGTTTATTCCACAGCTTATTAATCAATATTGCGTAGTTGCGGATGTTACAGCCCCCGGACTCCCATTTTACGCCATCAGCTGTTAGAAGTGGTGAAGCCTTCGAAAACCTAATAGCACACCATGACCTGGCGATCCTAATCAAGATCACTGATACACCAACGTATAAGTCAAGGGGGCGGATATTCTGGATTGGCGTCACCTTGTTAAGCTCGTCGTTAAATCATAAGATCTTTGACTGGAGAGCGCAGGTTTCGTGGACAACTAGTGAGCACAAATCAATCTCATTCAGCTTTAGAGCCCAGCACAATAAAAGCGAAAATCTCTCTGCTAAATTTAGGTTCAACCTAGGTAAAACAGATTGGAAAAAGTTTGAAAGCGAACTGACTAGACTGGCTTGGAAGTCTGGAAGTGAATGATATCAATGAAATAAACAAATATGCTCAAGAGTTGGGCAAAGTCATAATTGACGCATGTTAACATGCCATGCCGAAAAAGGGTCGTTGGAGAAGTCGAAATCCATGGTGGAGTGAAGAGCTAGCCAAAGCTAAGAGTAAGCTAGATAAAACTTATAGAATGTTCAAACGATACCATGACGATGCCTTGGTAAATGAGTACAGAGACCTATCAAGAAATAATAAAAGAATGATCCATCATGCAAAAAATAAAAGCTGTAGGAATTTTTGGAAACAGTGGAAAACGAAGACGTCTTTGGCTGCGTCTATAAATATATGGCAAATAAGAAAATCCCCCGCACCGCTTTCAGTGGCCTCTGAACTAATGACAACTATACGCTGTCAATGAAGGAGACAGCTAAAACTCTGCTTGGTACCCATATATCGGAAGACGACAAAACCGATGACTCCCTGGAGCTCAGCCACATGAGGAGGGAGGCAGAAATTTTTTCGGAAACGGAAGACGCCCCGTCCTTCACTACTCAAGAGCTCAGATTTGCCACGAGGAGTTTAAAGAATGGCAAGGCCCCAGGGGCTGATCTAATGGAGGTACAAGTTGTCAAACGAGCAACCAGGCTCCTCCCAGATCAGTTCCTGAAACTAATGAACGCCTGTCTAGAGAAGGGTCACTTTCCCCAAGAATGGAAAAAGGGAATGCTGACAGTCTTACTGAAAAGTTTCGACAAAGACCTTGCAGACCCTAGTTCATATCGCCTAATAAATCTTCTTGCAGTGAACGGCAAATTTTTGGAAAAGCTCGTAGTCAATAGACTTAACAGCGAAATACTGAGCTCTGAAGGCATCTCAACTTATCAAAATGGCTTCAGGTGAAAAATGTCAACAGAGGACGCCACTATGAAGCTAAGACGTGTAGTGAATAAATCCTCAAGTAGATACACTTTTAATGTCCTGTTTGACATAAAAGGCGCATTTGACAATGTACAGCACTCCGTGGTTCTGGCAGCCCTGAAAGAAAGGGGATGCCATAAGAACACCTGTCGGCTTATAAAAAGCTACTTTGAAAATCGACAACGCCGATGATCTCATCGCAGTTGTAGGTGGAAACTCTTTAAAATAAATTGAGAAGAAAGATCAGGAAATCGTCGACGAGGTCATTAAGCGGAGCGGAAATGTGAAACTAGAGATCTCAGAGAGAAAGACCGAAGGAATTTATCTCAAGATAAATGAATTTGAAAGAAACGGTCCAAGAGAAACCCCAGGCCTGATAAGCCCAAAAGATTGAGAAGAAGAACGGCAGCTCCAATGTTGCTGACTCCGATCATCAAGATGAAGGGACAAAATTTGAAAGTAAAGAAAACTGTCAGGTACCTGGGTATCATGATTGATCAAGGTATGAGCTTTCATAGCCATTGAAAATACCTCAGAGATAAAGTAACCCCACTCTTTTACTAGCTAAGGAGACTTGCGAACAGCATATGGGGACTAAAATTCCCAACGTGCATGCGAATCCAATAGGCGGTGTTCGCCCCAACGATCGCCTGCGTGGCCGCGGCATGGTCGGATAAATGCACGGTGCATGATATTCGAAAGTTATCGAGCGCCCAGCATGCGACTCTGGTATCAGCTACCCATGCTTACAAGACCGTCTCAATAGACGTGCTATGTATTCTGATGAGCACACTTTCAGTTGATCTTCTTCTCGAAAGCAGCCTTGTACAACTTGAGGAAAGGAAAGACAATTGCCATTGGAAATCTTAAAAAAGTCAGGGCAGAATAAGTTAGTGAAAAGCAAATAAAGGAAAAAGCCCTGAATGCATGGCAGAAAAGATAGGAAAGCTCAACAAAAGGACGAGTAACTTACTAGTTCATTAAAAATTTTAAAGATAGATTCGACACAAATTGGCTCAAACTGACCCTGCGAACGTTCAAATACTTACTGGACATGAAAATTTTAAGGCAAACTTACACAGGCTTAACTTGAAGGATAGTGATGTCTGTGAGTGCGAGGAAACGGACACCTCTGAACATAGACTTGCGAGATGCCCTAGAACGCATGAAAATTGAAAGCAATTTATGCAAAAAGTGGGGCTTGATAAGTGGCCAGATAACAAACGAGTACTTCGTGTCAAGTCAAGAAATCTTCGCCGCTTTCTCGGAGCTCTGCAAAACCATCGTGGCAGATGCAGACTCTAGGTGAGCAAAAAGAGAATGGTAGCAATTACAATTGTTGAACAATGGGTATGAAGGACCTTAGAAATAGGCCTTAGGGATTTGCGCCCCTACCTATATTCATAGCAATTTACACTATTCCAGGCGGGAGCCGACGGACACGCCGCCTTGAGGTGTCCCCGTGGATACGTACATCACTAAGGCTGTCTGCGAACAGTTAGATCTGGAATGACTAATTTAGAGTCGACGCAGCTGATGGCCGTAACCAAAGTGTCTGTCTTGGACTCCAAGTGTATAGATCATAGAGACCTGATAAAATTTAACTTCGGATCTCCTTATGAATACAAGTGGTACGACCAACGGGCGTACAGATTTTTCCAAGTTCGACCTAAGGCGGGTTTTGCACGATCGTGGATGGGTTACTTCCAGATTCCCCTAGTACCTCTCAAGAGGCTGTGAGCCCCATTTGGTAACAAACAGCTGGAAACAGGGAGCAGCGTCAGCCGGTTACCCGGAGAACATTGCTGTGCACTACTTCGTGCGTCGTCACCCTTCTGTAGTTACAGGCCAGCGTGCCAGCCAAGGCGACTAGTATATCTTGAGCACGTGTTGGCATTTGTAGTTTATTCGTGACCAAAAAAAAAGGGAGGCGTGCAGAGGTGCCCACGCGCTTCTATGACGTACCTCGCTGCATAAATTAATGTATCTCTCCCAGTGACACTAATTTCTCATAAATTAAAATTAAATTTCTCATAATTTCTCTAAATAAAAATACGTTTCAATCAAGTAAGACTTGTGAGGGTTATTGCATGCATTACACAGGAGGATAAAGCCTTACTAGAATAAATAATTTTAAATCTTTGTGTATTATATAGATATTTTGGTGGGTCCATTCGTACGCGACACCCTTTCATGCTCCTTCCACAGCCCACCTCACAAAAACGTAGAACGCATTTTAAAGATACTTCATCATAATGTCAATATAGTTTACTTACCCCACAGCGATCTCACACCTGCACATTAAAGTAATGTGAGATTATATGATAGGCTAATTCCTCACTTTTTTTATCAAAAAATTAGAATTTTTCTTAGGTACCTATTATTTTTCTATTTTTTCAATTTTTTTCAATCATTGTAGTACATAAGGTGGAGTGTCTTAATAGTATATTGAATAATATGACGTTTTAATCTTTCTGTATTGCATACTTATTTTAGTTAGTACGTCTACACCCCCCCTCTGCACTCTTTTATAAAAACATTATATTCCACTGTTTTTTGATATCCACCATATAATAAAAAAAAAATACAACTTTTTGTTGAGTTAATTCTTACGTACAATGAAGAACCCGCTACTCCATACCACCATATAACAACTATACCTTTATATTTATTGTAGCCTGACGTCATTAAAAATTGTATAGTCATATATATATATATATTGTTACTTAGAACATTATGAATCATATTAACCTTTACAGAATTAAAAAAAAAAAGTGAACAACTTCTTTATGTTTTTTTCCCACACCACCCATGAAGAAAATAGACAGGCATTGTTACTTCGTTTGTTGTAATTATTTATAGATCAGTACATGAATTTTTTCATTTAATTTATGTAAACATGCAATGAAATAGGGATAAAGTACATAATTACTGCAGACTGCTAGCAGAACGTGTGGAAAAACATGGGATAAAATATCTAAATATGATGAAAAGTCATTTATCAGGAAGTTTACTAGTGAAATAAGGTAAAGCGCCCAAAATTTAGACAAAACTAAAATTCAGACTGATACTTCGACAGTGAAAAATCAGTCGTTGTAGCAAATAAAACAGAGATATTTTAAAAACGTAATAGATTAGTATTGCTATGATTATTATTAATGATATACTTAAGTTTTTTAATAAATTTTAGCAAAATTTAATACAAGCAAATAATTCTAAATTTCACCTTAAGCGCCATAAGAGTGCGATAGTTTTTCTCCGTTTTCTATGATTTTGATAATAGGTAATGCTCGTCAAAATTAATCTAATGCATTTGTATGTATGCTGTATAGTATTATTGTACAATTTTTACATTAATTAACAATATTTCTGATGTAATCGTCGACAACAGAAATTTTTATAATTTAAAATTAGCTGTCCAAGTACACCTCACGATTTCGTAGTAGTTGGACAAACGTGGAGCTCTTGTCCAACTTCAGGTCAGAGGCACAAAAACATTGTAGCCAGTACATGGACACACAATCAAAGTTACTTATCTTTTAACGTAGTTAATCTTTTAAGAGAATTTTTTAAACAAAAGTGTATAAAAAGTGCAGTACTTTATAGAAAAAAATACGATACTTATCAGTTTTATTGTTACGAGGTGCACTGCTTTAAGAAAATAGTTTTTTTAACATTTTGAAAAGTTAACCTTCAATTCACTGTACAGATGAAGTATGAGTTCTAAAAAGAGAAAAAATTTTAAAAAAAGTGTAAAAGAATGAAAAAAAAAAAAAAGTGGAGGTCATACAACAAAAACAAAAAAGACAATTCAGAAAAGATATAATCTTTATAAAAGTAAATCTCAAATAACAAAACTTGAAAAACCAGTAAAATTGGTTTTACACTATCTCACTGATATAACAATTGAAAAAACTGAGTGAGAACCAAGGTAAGAACTTAATTGAGTTGGATAATTAGTTTGCGATGAAAGAAATGCAGTTCCTGCAAAAAAAAATTTAAATCAAAAAGAAGAAGTGTGATTCCACACTATTAAAAATGTTGAAAATAAACATACACCCTGAAGAATTTATCTTTTATTTAATAAATTATTTAAAAAAATAAAAATAAAAATTTTATGTACGAACTTCAAGTAATAAATTTGTTATTATTTATCACCTCCGTTCATCTTTTCTCGTTATAAGGTATTTATCTAAATATATACTTTAGTTTTAATAAGTACTTGCACCTTATCATGATTTATACAACTGTAAAATCGCTTAAGTTAGTACTCTCCAAGTACTGCTTTCCAACTTGCCCAAGTATTGCAGCATTGTCCAACTTTTGGTTTTCTAGATTGTCCAACTACTACGACAGTCAAGAATCATCGTCCAACTTCTCCGATAAGTTGACGTGTTTTGAAATGTACGATAACTATTAGTTCCGAAAAATCTATCCAAGTATTAGACGTGTTCACTTAAGAGTGAAAATGTTAGGCTGGCTTCTCTGTACAGCTAGCTTTTGTCATGAGAAGGATGGACTGCTTTGGGAATTAAGGTGGGGACACTCACGTACATTGTTTGAGTGTATTTGATGCTTGGTGCGTTAGTTTCTCCCACGACTCATAATTATGTGGCACGACAATTAAGAGCTCTGGTGCCCGGTACAAGCTCGGCTCTAGCTCTCTAGCCTTCCGAACTTCGAAGCAACAAGACGTTCCCACGAAGCAGTCCCTCCTTCGTCTAAAAGTTCAACGGCAACTTCTTTACACCTGGCGCCGGTGTCGTGACTTTTTTTGAGCAGACTCGGAGAAGACAGTCTTCCGTTGTTGTAACGTATAACTATCGTTATAGCGTTTTCTTTTACTTTAAGTACTCAGCAAACGAGGAATATAAATTTTGTTTTTCTTTACTGCCCGAACGACTTGCTCAATCGTCGTCTCGGTGCAGACATCATTTGATTTATCATTTACTTGTATATCTTTCTTTCGCGAGACTTCCTAGTACTTACTCCTTGTAAAACCTGTAGCATTTCTTTGGTGAATAAAAGTTTATTGTTTTTTAAAAGAAATTCTTTTCGTTGTCGAAGTGAGTTCGTTGTGAGTGTTTCTAGTAGTAGTTGCTGCGTGCAAAGTGCCATTTTTTTTATAACCATCTAAATAACCTCAATTCAAGATTACAAAATTTTCACGTCGCATTTTAATTCGACCAGCAAGGTCGAATTCTTTCTTACCTGGGCTTTTCAATACGAGGCTTACGAATTTTCTCGAGCCACGAGAAAAGCCCAGAAAACACAAACAAGACGTTTTACCTTGATACTTATAAATTATAAAAAAAATTTTTTGTAAATTTAAAAGCTCTTTGTTATACAAAAGTTTCTTTCAAAGTATCAAATTTGAAATATCTAAGTACAGCGTGATTATTAAATGATAATTAATATCATTTTATTTTGCCTTCAGTTTAAAACCAAAGATTAAGGACTACAGTCTCACGCTCCTTCACAGGCTGCGGGACAGCAGATAGTCCAACTATTTGTTTGTTTGTGTATTGGGAAAAGGAAAAATAGAAAAAGAGAGTATTAGGCTTTGTTTGTAAGTTATAAATGCTTTGAGCTTTTTAAAATCTTTGCCGCTTACGCTTATGCATGTGGCACCTGGTAGATTCTGCAATACTGCTCTATTATATAAATCTCTTTGATC